AACCCGAGCCGAAGGCGAAGGACTACCAGAACCTGCTGCTCCAGAAGTACCTGTGGTCGAGCCGAACACCAAGGAGGACCAGGAAGCAGACAAGGAGGAGGCGACGGCTTCCCCAGAGGAGGATGAGATGGCGAGGGCGGTCGCTGAAGAAGTTCGCGCTGCACGTGAAGAAGAGCCGCGCGAGCCCTTCGAGAGGAACGTGAAACAGAGGTCCGACAAGTTCGAGTCTGAGGAGGAGATGCTTCAGAGAGCTGCTGCCGCAGCTGCTACGAGTATCGAGGAGGTGCCCGACTCGCCGGGCATGGAGCTGGAGATCAGTGGGCTAGGCCGCGGTGTGGTTCGCAAGCTTGAGGAGGAGCCGCAGAGTGGCCCAAGTACTACCAAGCGCCGCATCGAAGCTGCTATCGCCCAGGCGGTGGCAAGAAATCAGCAGCTGGATCTCGGGAAATCGTCGCCCTTCCGCTGCTGATGAGAAGCTGAACGAACATGATGAGGACCTCATGACCATCGATTGGGAGAAGGAGCTCGAGGAGGACATCTATTTCATTCAGGCGGCTGGCAAAGGAGTTGAGGAGGACGTTTATTTCACGAAGAAGCGTGGTGGCGATGAGGTGCTGGAGAGAAGTATCCCAAAAGAAGAGTGGCCATAGTGGAACAAGTCTGATGCGACTGAGTGGGATGGCGTGCTATCTACTGGAGGTGTGAAGGTGCTCGGCGTGGAGGAAAGTCAGAAGGTGGGGAGTGCTCTACCGAGGCAGGGCAAGGAGAACCGAATTATTCCCTCAAGGATGGTTCGGCGTAAGAAACCTTCTGAGGATCGAGGGGTGGGGCCCAGCTGCAAGAGCAGGTGGTGCGTGCGAGGTGACCAAGATCCAGACCTGCTCTCACTGGTGCGCTCTGCTCCTACGGTGACTGCCAGTTCTCTGATGATGGTGTTGCAGATTGCGGCGTCCAGCAAGTGGGTGGCTACCAGTGGGGATCTCTGGAAGGCATTTATGCAATCCGACCGGTTGGTGCGGGAGAGTGGCAAGCTGTATGCGGAGCAGCCTCGATCTGGGCTACCTGGTCTTGCTGCTGGCCAACTTATCGAACTGGTGTCTGGTGTATATGGACTTGGAGACGCTCCATTACACTTCGGGAAGGGACTACAGCGGGATCTTGTGGACTTGGGCTACCGACCGAGCACCCTGGACCCCGCTGTGTTCATGCTGTTTCCGGAGACGGTGTCTGTGCAGCCACTGGTTAGACTAGCTGATCTAGGAGGTGAGCGTCGTGGAGGTGGGCCTGGTTCAGGCCATCCCGGACGTGGAGGGAATTGTAGTTGTGGAGGTGGACGACATCTTCGACGTCGGAGGTGATCGACACTGTCGGCAGATGGAGGTACTACGTGGACGGAGGCGCTTTGGCAAGGTGAAGGCGTTGATGAAGGAGAAGGACGGAGCGATGTTCAACGGGAGGCGCTACAGGCAGGATGAGCAGTACAACTTTCACGTGACCATGACGAAGTTCATTGAGGAGAGGCTTGCACCGATCAAGGTGTCCAAAGGTCATGGTGCCCATGAAACTATGCAGTTCAGGTGAATGCAGTCAAGCCCGTGCAGTGCTTGGCTCGTTGAACTGGCTAACTCGTGAACTCAGGGCTGATGGGGGTGGCAGGTGCAGTCTACTACAGCAAGCTCTATGCAAGCTTACCTATGAGGACGTGAAGGAGATCAACCAGTTGGTCAAGTACATGAAGGACACGGCTGGGCTTGGTATCACAGTGTGGTCAATTCCGCTCAATGAGATCATCTGGATGTCTATTTCAGATGCGAGTCTACACAACAGCAGTGAAGGCGGATCTCAAGGTGCGTACGCTATCCTGGCAACATCGAGGTCGATTTCCGAGGGCAAGCGACAACCTGCGAGCTTGTTGGTTTGGCGGAGCTCAAGGATTGATCGAGTTGTGGACTCTACGTTGCATGCCGAGACGTTGTCACTCAACACAAGCGTTGCAGAGTTGGGTTGAATGGTCACTTTGTGCCACGAGTGTGCCTTCTCCAATTTCAAGCTGGACGAGTGGGAGCGCTGGTGTGAGCATCGTCGTCTACTATCTCTAGCAGGGCGCAATGAGGAGACACCCAGGGCGGAGTTTCTCAAGAAGGGCTTATGCGTCGTGGATGCCAAGTCACTGTATGACTATCTGCAGAGGGAGACTACAGGCGGAAGGGATCGCAAGTGTGCTACGCAGATTCAGATCATCAGGCAGGCGATGAATGCTCTGGGCTGTGAGATTCGTTGGGTGGATCATCCGGCTATGCTAGTGGATGGAATGACTAAGCGTAGGGCGTAGCTCGATCTCACGACTCAATTTCTGAGGACTGGTACGTTTTGTATTGTCGATGAGACTGTGACCATGGAGGCACATCGTGAGCGCAGTGCCGCCGGGCAGTGGCCCCAGCGTTAGCATGTTCTGTTTGCGAGTTCTGTTTGTATAGAGGCTGAAGGGAACAGAGCCTTTCGGGAGCTGTAATTTTTCTGAGTCTACTGCCTAGACTCCCTTCCCTTCAGCCCCAGTTTCTCCCGAGCCCAGCGCCCATATGTTGCTTCTGCAGCCATCTTGTGCTCGGGCTGGCTTACCCCGTTTCCCTCTCGAATCCACCCAGAAGAGCCCCAGACAATCCCGTTCACTTCTATTATGATCCTGTTGCTGGTCTCTGCGGGAGTCCTCATTTTCGCCGGCGCTCGACCTTGGTGCGCCATCGGGAAGATATCAGAAGAGGAGCTCAACGTCGGCGTCGTGGGTTTCTCAATCGTCTAAGGTCAGGAGGGGGAAAAAACACAGACACAATTAATCATCGATTCCCAGAAAATATGGGAAAATATGGGAAGTGGGGGGAAGACAAAAACCCAGAAAATATGGGAAAATTGGGGGAATACTTTTATTTGTGTGTATTTATTTGTGTGTCCTGGGGCCCCTTCGTAAGGACGGCCCTTAGACGGCCGCCCAGGCGGCCCTCAGGCGGCCCCGCAGGCTTCGAAAACGGCCCTAACGGCGCCCAAAGGGGGTCCCTGAGATCCGACGTGGCGAAAAAATGCAAATTCGCGAGTAACCACGACCGGAACCCCCAGGCCCCACCTCCTGCGGCATTCTCGAGCCGGACCGATTTGTGATGGTCCTGGGGCCCGAGTCGGGTATAGCAGCCACGCGCAGAGGGGGGTGGGGGGAGGGGGGAGGGCTTCGTAGAAACACCCCTGCTTCTAAGAAACCCTCCCCCCTCGCCCCACCCCCTTGTGCGCGCCGCCAAGTATAGCCAGGACCAAGGCTAAGGAGAGCTGGTCAGTGGTGGGGGCCCCGACGCCCAAACATAGGCTGGAATCACTGAGCCAGGTCTGCCGTAGTGGATATGTTTCGGGGGACGGCAGGTCCGGCCAGTGGAATGGGGTGGGGGCGGCGTCCCCTGGCACAAACCACCAAACCAGGTCCCACTAAACTTTAAGTCGGGCCTGTTCCGGACTACAGGAGGAATATTCAAAAATAACAAAAACATGCTCTGGGGACGATTTTTGGACTTTGGACATTTGTGGAATATTTTGGGGGTATTTTCAATTTATCGTCCGAGACCCGCCTGCAGGGGGACATGCCCGACCTTACACGAAACCCAGTCTTGCCAACGCCTGGCGAAAACGCCAGGCGCGAAAAAGTGGCAAAGCCCGGCTCTTGGGGGCAGAGGGGCCCGGGCCCTGCGACTGCCCAGAGAGGCTTCCGAGGGCGGGTCGCCGGAGGCTGAGAGGAGGCGCCCCCCGCCCACCCTCCAAGACGCCCCCAGGGCGGGCGGCCCCGAGGCGGCCCCGGAAGAGGAGGCGGAGGAGGAGGAGGCGGAGGAGGAGGCGGCGGAGGCGGAGGCGAGGCGGAGGAGGAGGAGGAGGAGGAGGAGGAGGAGGAGGAGGAGGAGGAGGAGGAGGAGGAGGAGGAGGAGGAGGAGGAGGAGGAGGAGGAGGAGAGGAGGAGGAGGAGGGAGGAGGAGGAGGAGAGGGGGGGGGGGGGGGGGGAGGAGGAGGAGGGAGGAGGAGGAGGAGGAGGAGGAGGAGGAGGGAGGAGAGGAGGAGGAGGAGGAGGAGGGAGGAGGAGGAGGAGGAGGAGGAGGAGGAGGAGGAGGAGGAGGAGGAGGAGGAGGAGGAGGAGGAGGAGGAGGGGAGGAGAGGAGGAGGGAGGAGGAGGAGGAGGAGGCGGAGGCGGAGGAGGAGGAGGAGGAGGAGGAGGAGGAGGAGGAGGAGGAGGAGGAGGAGGAGGAGGAGGACGAGGAGGAAGCCCAGAGTGGCACGACTGCCCAAAGAAGGCCCCCCCGAGGACGGGCCGGAGGAGGCCGGGAGGAGCCCCCCCCGAGGTTCGGGCATGGACAGAGTGCCGCCCCCCCCCCAGACAAGTCGACCGAGGAAGTCTGTGCGGCTTTACTCGCCAGTGGCGTTCGAGTGTGCCCGTGGTGCAGTCCCCAGCCGGCTTCGCGGATCCGCGTGCGTTTCGCTCGGATGCACTCGACTGGTTCTGGGCGTCGGTGAGCTGCCCCCGCTGGAGTGCACTCGGAGCGCGCTGCCGTGCGCACGTGGAGTGCCCCTGGCAGCTTTCACGAAGTGGCGCTTGGCTGCAGTCGGAGAAGAAAGAACGCCATAAGCATAAACTTGGATCCGCGCTGGGCCCCCCCCCGGCGGCGCCTCTGGCGCCGCCCCTGGCGCGCTCGGCGCGCCAGGAAGAGGGCCCCAGCGCCGATCTGAGAAGTCCTCGCGGAACGCCAGGAGTTTCTGTTTATCCAGGAGAGGGAAAACCACCCAGACCCGATCGTTGGCGCTTGCCAAACGGCCTTGGGCGTTGACTCAACAGCCCTGCCCTGTTCGATCCTTTCTCGCGGTGCGTCTCCTAAACGGCTTCGCGCGTCGGGGCCGTTGTCGTGAGGGTGGAGGTTCCTCTCTCTCTACAGATGGCGTTATCCCCCTTCCGTGCAGGGGGTTCTGCCCACCCCGAGGTGAGCCGCTGGGCCATGGAAAACAACGACTCCAAGTGCATCACGCACGCGCTGTCCGAGGCCGGGAGGAGGAGGATGAGGAGGAGGAGGAGGAGGAGGAGGAGGAGGAGGAGAGGAGGAGAAGGGGAGGAGGAGAGGGGGAGGAGGAGGAGGGGGAGGAGGAGGAGGAGGAGGAGGAGGAGGAGGAGGAGGAGGAGGAGGAGGAGGCCCGCCGCGGGGGGGCGGCGCGCCGTCCCGCGGCGGCTCGGCGGCGCCTCGGCCGCCTCCGGAGGCTCCCCCCCCGGGAGGCCCCCGCGCCCCGGGAGCCGGGCGGCTCGGCGACGGCGACGGCGGCTCGGCGGCCCTCGAAGGACAAATGGCACAAACATGCACTTTTGGTGCTCCGCGCGGGTTTCTTGGGTCTGCGCTGGGCGCCCTGGCGGCGCCGGGCGGCTCTAGAAGGACAAATGGCATAAACATGCACTTTTGGCGCTCCGCGCGGGTTTCTTGGGTCCGCGCTGGGCGCCCTGGCGGTGCCTCCGGCGCCGCCCCTGGCGCGCTCCGCGCGCCAGGGAGGGGGGCCCGGCTCAGATCCAAGAAACCCGCGCGGACCGTCGAAAGTTTATGTTTATGCCGTTTTTTCTTCTTCGAGGCTCGCTCGGCGTCGCCGGCGTCGGCATCCCTCTGAGATCTGGGCGTTGTGCACTGTTGTTCACACGGGACGTTTTCTCGCCCAGCTTCGGGCCGCGGGAGACCATCACAGATCCACCCGGCTCGACGACGGCCGCAGAAAGATAGTTTTTTTCGCCACGTCGCAGCTCCGGGGACGACGGCGACGGCCGCCTCTGGAAGCCCCAAGCCCCCAGGAGGCCCCCAGAGGCAGCGCGGGCGGTTGAGGGTTTCAACGCTTTCGACGTCTTCGTCGGTTCCTGGTGGTTCTCCAGCCTCGTGATGCTCTCCGGCAGCGTCGCCTTGCCGAGCGCGTTCTGGGGGTGCCTGAATCCTCCCGACGGCCGCCGGAGGCCAGTTATGAGCCGATTCGGGAGCCAAGAGACGGGGGTCAATGCAGACGGGGGTCAGCCAGGGCGCCAGATCCTGCAGGATCCTGCGGAGACCCCCTCTGGCTGACCCGGGTTAGCGAGCCGCTCGTGGCCGCGAGGCGGCCGCACATATTGGCTGAACCGGGTTTGCGAAGACCTGCGTTGCAGTTTTTTGTTCCTGCATTGCAGTTTTTGGTTTCCTGCTGACCCGGGTCTGGATTGACCCGGGTCAGAAGATCCCCGACCGATAGCCGAGTAACCCTTCAGGGCCCATCTCTCGATTATATATTATATCGATCTGATCTGATATCGATCTCCGCGGCCCGATCCAGTTCGATTCTGGCCTCTGGCGATGCGACCCGGCTCGATGCCTGCATGCTGCTCTTGCGCGTTCTGGCGCGGCATCGATCCGACGACGTCGCCGACGCCGCCGACGCCGACGCTGGCGCAGACGCCGACGACACCGCCTCCTTGAGCGCGTCCTGACCAGGACCCCTGACCATGGACGCCCACTCCGATGATGCCGAGGACGCCGACGCCTGGCTGACGCCGACGCCGATGCCTGGCCGACGCCGACGCCAGCGGATGGACCATGACGGACGACGGCGATGGACGACGGACGGCGACGTCGACGGCGGCAACGACGGTCGACAACGGTCAACGCCGACGCCGGCTTCGACGCCAACACCGCCGCTGAGGCAGGCCCAGCATGGTGATCGTTTTCTGATTCCTTGTTTTACCGATCGGCGCTGGCCCTCTTCCCCCCCCTCTTCTCTCCACGCTGGAGTAGATCTTGGTTGTTTTTGGCGCCTGTTTCGAGCAGGTGGAGGCTCCCCCATCGGACGCACTGATGCAAACAGTCGCATGGAGCAGAGGTCCGGAGTTAGCCCCCCCCCTCCCCTCCCCTTCCGCCCAATGTCGAAACGCCGAATGAGAAGACGCTCACGTGAAGACAAATCTCTCCACCTCGTCCCAGAACGCTCTCGGAGAGATTGCGGCGCGCCCTGAACCGGCCGCGGCGCCCGCCGCTGCGTCCTCCTCAGGGCCCGCCAGCTCTGTTGGAGAGCCTCCCGACATATGATGAGCTTTTTTTTCCACCACCACCATAAGTTGGAGGGGGAGGGGGTCCTCCTCCTCCTCCTCCTCCTCCTCCTCCTCCTCCTTCCCCCATCCAACTTATGGTGGTGGTGGTGGAAACCAGGCCCATCAGACTTATGCCCTCGGCCGAGTCTCTGTCCTTAGCTTGCCTTCGTCTTGTGGCCGCCCCGAGGGGCCGCCGTCGCCGTCGCCGTCGCCGTCGCCGTCGCCGTCGCCGTCGCCGTCGCCGTCGTCGTCGTCCGTCGTCGTCGTCGTCGTCGTCGTCGTCGTCGTCGTCGTCGTCGTCGTCGTGTTCCGTCGTCGTCGTCGTCGTCATCCGTCGTCGTCCGTCGTCGTCGTCGTCGTCGTCGTCGTCGTCGTCGTCGTCGTCGTCCGTCGTCGTCCGTTGTCGCCGTCGTCGTCGTCGTCGTCGTCGTCGTCGTCGTCGTCGTCGTCGTCGCCGTCGTCGACGTCGTCTTTTTCGTCGTTGTTTTCGTCGTCTTTCCCGTCGTCTTCGGCGTTGGCGTGGGCGTGGGCGTCGGTGTCGGCGTCGTCGTCGACGTCGGCGTCGCCGTCGTCGTCGGCGTGGTCGGCGTCGGCGTCGGCGGCGGCGCAGTCGTCGACGGCGCCGGCGCCGGCGGCGGCGGTGCCGCCCGAGGGCGCGGGCGGGGCGCTGCGACTGGTGCCGCTGGAGGACCTGCACCTGCGGTCGGAGGACGTGGCGGGGCTGGAGGCGCTGGCAGGCACGGGCGCCAGGATCCCGAGCATCAGCGCGGTCCTTCGGGGGGGGCCGTCGGGGGGCCCTCGCGGTCGTCGGCTTCGAGGCCGAGGAGGCTTCCCCCGGCGGTGGTCCGGCCTCGGGGTGCTCTTCGGCAGACGCGTTCGCTGTCGGTCCTGTCGGTTTTCGATGCTGCTGTCGCCGTGGACGTCTACGCTCGCCCATGCTCCTCCTTGCTCCTCGCCTCCTCCTCCTCTTCCGCCTGGCGGCTCCAGGCGGCTCATGGCGACTTCCAGCGCAGGGGTCATTCCGATTCCTCTGGTTCGATTCGAATCGATTTCCGCGATTCCGATTTCGAACCGACTCGATTCCGGGATTCCGATTCGCGATTCCGATTTCGAGTTCGCCCGATCCGGCTTCTGCCGATTCGATGCGTCAGCTGATTCTCTGGCTTACGCCACACCGCCGACCCCTTGGGGTGCTTTGTTTGGGTGCGTCGTTTTTTTTTTGTGGGGCGGGCCCTGGGCAGTCCGGCTGCACATGCAGGCTTTGTGGTGTACGTGTGCGTTTCCGGGTAGGGGTGGGGTGAGGGGGGTCTCAAAGTGTCATGTCTTAGTGTTCCGTGCGCGTTGTTCCATTGAGTGGCGCAGTATGGGTTTGCTAGCGGGTCGCCCACCAACGTGCGCAATTAGTCAACCCGACTGGGCTCTGGGGGGAGGGGTTCGTGGAGGGCGACACATCACACACGCCGATGATCCCCAAGGGGTCGGCGGTTTTCACGCCGCCCATATATGGTAGCGGAGCAGCGGCTCCTTCCGCGGTTCCAGCGCAGATTCCTGCTTTTGTGTCAAAAAATAGAGTAGCGCTTACGGTTTTCGAGGCCCGCGCCCGCGGCTGGCAGAGGACAAGGGAGGATCCTGAGTAGAGGCTTGTTGTACGTGTATGGGGGTCTCGCGGCACGCCTCTCCAGGGCCTCTGGAAGGCTGTTTTGAAGCCACTTATGCACCGGGATGGAAAGTAAGGGTGAGGAGAAGGAGAGGGACACGGAAGGAATGCTGTTGGTCATGGGTTATGGGTTAGAGGTTTCTTGGATGTGTATTGGGATCTCGCGGCACGCCTCTCGGAGGCCTGTCGGATACGGTTTTGAAACCACTTGGGGGCCGTTTCGGAGCCTCTGAAGGGCTTCTTGGGGGTTCCTTGGGGCGTCTTGGGGGCCTCTTGGGGGCCTCTGGCGGCCTCTTGGGGCACTCTTGGGGCCCCCTGGTGGTCCAGAGGGCGGAAAGCTAGATGTTTTGAATGTTTTGTGGCCCTCTTGGGTTCCTCTTGGTGCCGTCTTGGGGCCCTCTTGGGCCGTCTTGGGGACCTCTTGGGCCGTCTTGGGGCCGTTTCGGAGCCTCTGGGGGGCTTCTTGGGGGTTCCTTGGGGCGTCTTGGGGGCCTCTTGGAAGCCTCTGGCGGCCTCTTGGGGCACTCTTGGGGCCCCCTGGGGCTCCTGAGGGCGGAAAGCTAGATGTTTTGAATTCCCAACCATCCTGTGGTGTTGGGTCCTCGTTTTGAAGAGACAGTGCCCCGCGTTCCTCCTTCCTCCTCCTCCCTCCTCCCCCTCCTTGCCTCTGCTCTCGGCACACCTCTCACGCGTTTCGTAGCCCCATAGGGAGCTCCACCGAAGGCCCCAGTGGGGGTGTCCACATGCGGTTCCCCCACCCAGGGCAGCGTTTCGTAGCCCCAGAGGGAGCTCCACCGAAGGCCCCAGTGGGGGTGTCCACATGCGGTTCCCCCACCCAGGGCAGCGTTTCGTAGCCCCATAGGGAGCTCCACCGAAGGCCCCAGTGGGGGTGTCCACATGCGGTTCCCCCACCCAGGGCAGCGTTTCGTAGCCCCATAGGGAGCTCCACCGAAGGCCCCAGTGGGGGTGTTCGCATGCGGTTCCCCCACCCAGGGCAGCGTTTCGTAGCCCCATAGGGAGCTCCACCGAAGGCCCCAGTGGGGGTGTTCGCATGCGGTTCCCCCACCCAGGGCAGCGTTTCGTAGCCCCATAGGGAGCTCCACCGAAGGCCCCAGTGGGGGTGTTCGCATGCGGTTCCCCCACCCAGGGCAGCGTTTCGTGGCCCCATAGGGAGCTCCACCGAAGGCCCCAGTGGGGGTGTTCGCATGCGGTTCCCCCACCCAGGGCAGCGTTTCGTAGCCCCATAGGGAGCTCCACCGAAGGCCCCAGTGGGGGTGTTCGCATGCGGTTCCCCCACCCAGGGCAGCGTTTCGTGGCCCCATAGGGAGCTCCACCGAAGGCCCCAGTGGGGGTGTTCGCATGCGGTTCCCCCACCCAGGGCAGCGTTTCGTAGCCCCATAGGGAGCTCCACCGAAGGCCCCAGTGGGGGTGTTCGCATGCGGTTCCCCCACCCAGGGCAGCGTTTCGTGGCCCCATAGGGAGCTCCACCGAAGGCCCCAGTGGGGGTGTTCGCATGCGGTTCCCCCACCCAGGGCAGCGTTTCGTAGCCCCATAGGGAGCTCCACCGAAGGCCCCAGTGGGGGTGTTCGCATGCGGTTCCCCCACCCAGGGCAGCGTTTCGTGGCCCCATAGGGAGCTCCACCGAAGGGCCCCAGTGGGGGTGTTCGCATGCGGTTCCCCCACCCAGGGCAGCGTTTCGTAGCCCCATAGGGAGCTCCACCGAAGGCCCCAGTGGGGGTGTCCCATGGGCAGGTTTCGTAGCCCCAGAGGGATCGACATGCGGTTCCCCCACCCAGGGCAGCCCCAGAGGGAGTGTCCACATGCGGTTCCCCCACCCAGGGCAGCGTTTCGTGGCCCCATAGGGAGCTCCACCGAAGGCCCCAGTGGGGGTGTCCGCATGCGGTTCCCCCACCCAGGGCAGCGTTTCGTAGCCCCATAGGGAGCTCCACCGAAGGCCCCAGTGGGGGTGTTCGCATGCGGTTCCCCCACCCAGGGCAGCGTTTCGTAGCCCCAGAGGGAGCTCCACCGAAGGCCCCAGTGGGGGTGTCCACATGCGGTTCCCCCACCCAGGGCAGCGTTTCGTAGCCCCATAGGGAGCTCCACCGTAGGCCCCAGTGGGGCTGCCCTCGTGCGGTTCCCCCACCCAGGGCAGCGTTTCGTAGCCCCAGAGGGAGCTCCACCGTAGGCCCCAGTGGGGGTGCCCGCATGCGGTTCCCCCACCCAGGGCAGCGTTTCGTGGCCCACAGGGAGCTCCACCGAAGGCCCCAGTGGGGCTGCCTGCATGCGGTTCCCCCACCCAGGGCAGCGTTTCGTAGCCCCATAGGGAGCTCCACCGAAGGCCCCAGTGGGGGTGTTCGCATGCGTCTCCACTACCCAGAGGTAGCGCCGCCGAAAACGATATTCACACTTGCGGTATTCACAGTTGCATATGGTTGGGTCCTTCGCCAGGCTAATTTTTTGTGGCCCTCTTGGGCCCCTCTTGGTGCCGTCTTGGGGCCCTCTTGGGCCGTCTTGGGGACCTCTTGGGCCGTCTTGGGACCATCTTGGGCCGTTTTGGGGCCGTCTTGTAGGCCTCTTGGGCCGTCTTGGGGCTGTCTTCGGGGCCTCTTGGGCCGTCTTGGAGCGTCGGGAAGCCGAAAAGGCGAAACGACAAAAAACACCGAAAAACACAATGGACAATTAACAATTTTAGCCTCTCGGGGCCCTCTTGGGCCGTCTTCGAGGCCCCTTGGCTCGTCTTGGGGTCATCTTGGGCGTCTTGGAGCGCTGGTTTGGCGTCTCGGGGCCCTCGTGGGCCGTCTTGGAGGCCTCTTGGGGCCTTCTTGGCCCATCTTTAGGCTTTCTGAGGCCCAGAAGAGCCCGTGAGTCGCTCGTCGGGGGCCCCCCCCCCCTCCAAATCGACCGGACCGGGCTCCCGGGGGAGGGGTTTGGGGAGGGGGGAGCATCTCACACGCCGATGATCCCCAAGGGATTTCGATGCGTCAGCTGATTTCTGCAGGCTTTTGCCGATCCGGCTTCGCTCCGGCTCTGGCCCCCAAGGGGGGGAGGAGGAGGGAGGAGGAACCCCCAGGGGGGAGTCCAAAAACGCGGATTCACAAATGTGAAGCGTAGTTAGTCTCTCTGCACCCTCCCTCCGCACTTGCTTGCATCCGTCTCACCTCCCCCTCTGCCCCCTTGTCTTCTCCGCAGCCTTTTGGGTCACAGGGGGGACCGCTTGTCCCGCCCTCCCACCCTCTTTTTCCCTCCGGCGCCGCTGCGCCGGGGTGTGTCCTCGTGTGCGCGACTTGGCCAATGAAGAAAAGAACGCGTAGGAGGAGGAATAGGAGCAGGAGCTAACCCCAAACCCTCCCCAGGGGGGGGGATTCCAAAAGCCCTGGGACCCCCAACCCCCTCCATGGGGGGGTTTCCAAAAGCCCCGGGATCCCCCCCCCCCCCCCAGGGGGGGTTCCAAACCCCCCCCCCCCCAAGGGGGGGGTCCAAAAACCCAAACCCCACCCAGGGGGGGGTCCGGGGTTCCAACCCCCCCCCCCGGGGGGGGGTTCCAAAACTCCCCCCCCCCCC